CTCGAGTGGTGAGCGGTGCAGCTGGTGGGGGGGGGGGGGGGCAGGGCGGAGGAGGGAGTGCTGTCACTTCAGAATGGCCAAGTGGTGGGTGAGGTGAGAGAGAGGCGCTGGCTGTCAGATCCTGGCTGAGCGTCCCCAAAAGGGGCAAGGGTACACAGCCAGGCTGGCCCTGGCTGTGCCCCCTCGCAGCTGCCCCTGAGGCGAGTGCCTTATTCACCTCACCCTTGCCACGGCCCTACCATAGGGTGTTCTTGCACAGGGCAGGTGGGGGGTGTCTTTTGTTTTTGTCTTTAACACAGTTTTACATTAATATTGTATTTTGTTGTCAACCTATTATAAATGAGAATTTTATCCTTTTGTCCTAGAGAAGTCATCATGTACTCCCTCTGGCTGGGGTGCCAGTGCCATCCAGATTCCCTCTCACCCCCTCACTCCATCATTCTTTTTCCCCTTGTTTTTTTTTCTCTCTTTCCTCTCATCATCCTTCATTCTTTCCCTTGCATTCTATTTATCCTTTGCTACATACCACCTTCCCCTATATACAACCTCTGTATTTCATGTGTCATACTTTCTGTTATGGTGACAACCATGATATGTGACATGGGCTCACCCAAGTTTCAGAGTCTAAGTGGCAACTTGCTCTTTACCAGAGCACCCCACACGTAGTAATGGGCTGGTGACCCTAGTGGCCCCTGAGCTACTTTGCTGCAAGTTGACACCAGGTCATGGCCCTCAGGGTCACTCAAACAAATGGTCACAGGAACAGGATGGCTATGCTGTGAATATAGAGTGCAAATAATGGAAGGTCAGAGTCCAGGCTAAGGTTGAGGCAGTCAGAATGCAAGAGAGAGGTACAGGAACAAGCTGAGTTGGCAACCAGGGCACGAGACACGAGCAGGGCCAGGCAATCTGAGACAGCAACAGACAAATCAAGAACAACAGAATTTCAGACACAGGGTAGATGACAAGAAGTCACAGCACTCTCAACCATGAGGGAAGGAGTTTAAATTCCCTCTTTGGCCTATGCGCACAGCCCTGCCCCAGGGACACATGCCAATTCACAGTA